GTGGGCCCCCGCCCGGCCCCCCAGCTGCGGGGCTGACGCGGGAGCAGCCCCCAGCGCGGCTCCCCAGCGAGACGCTGGTGTGACGCAGGGCAGCAGCACGGGGCAGCCAGGGGACGGCCGTGGCGGAGGGGTCTCCTGGGGGAGAGCAAAGGGCATCACTTCCCACCTAAGGCACAAAAGCCCGGACAGGGGGCTGCTGGGTTTGGGTCTGCCCCAATCTGCTGCAGGGCCCTGGCAAGTCACTTAATCTCCAGTCTCTGCCGCTTTACAGCAACGGCATCTACACACCCAAGCGACCCGTGGGCAGCAAGCTGATCCTGGCTTCACATGGGGCTAGGGCTTGACCCAAGAGGTTTCTCTCCGTCTCTGAGGAGCCAGGGATTACGGCAGCTCCTAAAACACAGCAGCACTCTGCCACCACAGAGGACCCCGACCCGGACCCGACCCGTCGCCGGCGCAGCCTTCCCCGGCCTCGACGATGCATGCCAGGACCACAAAACTCTTGGCAACTCCAGCAAGCTGAGCTCATTCTTCCCAGTTGATGATTTACTCAGAAATGTTTCTGAGGTCAGTTCTCCATCAGAAAAATGCTGCCGAACACCCAGCGAGAAGCTGCTGCGTCTCGAGGAACCGCATGCTCCGCTCGCTCAGCCTAAAAGTCACCCCGATGACTAACCCCGGCGTCAGAGCGAGCGGGGCCAACGTGCTGCTGTTTGATCTCACTGTTTTCTCCGGGGAAGCCAAATTTCAGGCTGTTGCAGGGTTCTCTCCACTTCCCCGTAGCGGTTTCCTGCAATGGCATGGACATACGCATATTTGGGAGCTGAGTCAGAGTCCTGCAATAAGAACCACCTGGCCGTGCTCTTGCCGGCTGGGCTGGAGGAGCGTTCCCAGGGCCAACGGGGCCTCGGCTGTAACGCTTGGCGTCTGCGGGCAGCGTCTCTGGGGCAAAACTACCTACAAGGGACACAGCGTCCCACCACAGCACGCGGTTTCTGGCCCGGGTAAGATAAAGAGGGATTTGTTGCTGTAGTTCTCACGGCTCTTCTCTTTCTTTGCTGGGCTGGGACTCGCATACTGCAGCCACCCCCACCCCGACGCCAGGGGGAAAAACTTGTAAAGCAGAAAGGGCAAAACTGTGCCAGGCCCTGCAGAAAGCAGCTGGGACGTCTGTCCTGCCCCTCGCCTGCCTGCGAAGGGCAGTGCCGAAAGCCCGGCTCCTTGTCCGTCGTGCGAACGCACCCCGGTATGCACGGAGCAGGACCGCGGCCCCCAGCCTGGGCTTTCTCCGGGGAGTAACGTGGACGAGTGACGCAGGATTTGGCAGAGTTGCAGAACTGCCCTCCCAGCTCGTTGAGATTAAATAAGGCTGTTTCCTGGTAAAGAAACCTCCCGGATTTTCGCTTCTGGGCTCTGCCCCGTGTTATAAAAATGTATAACCTCCTCTCCCCTGCCACCCCCATGCAACTTGAACCCCTCTGCTCAGCAAATAACTCCGCATCCCTGGGCAGCGAGTGAGACTAAGCCCAGATAAGCCTTTTCAAAGGAGCTAAACCTGCTTAAAGCCAGGGCTGTTCCCCGACCCACCCTCCTAATCCCGCCTGGCTGATAATGAAATAATGAAGGGCTGCGGAGCTGTGCTCTCCGCGCCGCGCTGTGGGGGAGGTTTCATGCCTTCCTATGTGCTAGGAGCATGTATATTCATTACCCCGTAAGTAAACACAATTGCTTCTTTCTTCTCCTTTTGCCCGGCTGTAAAACCAGGTGTAACCTTCAGCCTGCCAAGCAGCTACAGCGCAATCGCTCCCCTTTCCAGGAGAAAGGTTGCGGCGCTGATAACAGCCGCGATCTCTGCCCGCTGCACCTCGGAGGCCGGCCAGGCGCCCCGGGGGCCGCTGGGGTGCAGAAGGTCCCCACCTTTCCCCGGCGGTGCCGCGCGGGAGCCGGGGCGCCGGCGGAGCCCAGCGGGGAGCTTCGCCTTTCCTGGGACGCTGAGGCAGGCTCCGTCTCCCCAGGGAGCCAGGGGCTTTCCTCCATCACGCAGCCCTCCATCGTGCAGCCCTCGTTTGGCCTAAAAACCAGTAGCAAAGCCAGGGACGGGGTGTCCCGGTGCCTCCGTTCGGGAGCGACCCTGCTGGCCTGTTGGGCCTCTCCCCAGCAGGGCTGAAGGTGCCAGCACCGGAGAGAAATCTTAGGAAAGAAACACAAGAGCAGAGGCAGTTTATGGCAGGGCACGTTATCAAGCCATTTGTGGTCCCTCTGAGCCGCACAGAGGGGTGCCACCTTGGGGCTGTTATGCTGGTGGCTTCCCCCACAACGGAACCCACCAACT